GTGTGTGTGTGTGTTTGTGTGTGTGTGTGTGTGTGTGTGTGTGTGTGTCTGTGTGTGTGTGTGTGTGTGTGTGTGTGTGTATGTGTGTGTGTGTGTGTGTGTGTGTGTGTGTGTGTGTGTGTGTGTGTGTGTGTGTGTGTGTGTGTGTGTGTGTGTGTGTGTGTGTGTGTGTGTGTGTGTGTGTGTGTGTGTGTGTGTGTGTAGGTCCTGGTGAAGAACCTTCTGTTTGAAGATGGAAAGATGATTCCTGCGTCTAAATACTTTTCTTCTGGAGAATCGTCGAGTTTGGAGCTGACGGAGGAAGAGACCAAGACCTCAGAGCAGATCAGGGTATGTGACATCACCGTGTGACATCACCGTGTGACATCACCGTGTGACATCACCGTGCTACATATTAACCAGTGTCTGTGCAGCTGATCTGGAAGGGCATCCTGAGTAATGTGGCGGCTGTTGAGGACTCTACAGACTTCTTCAAATCTGGAGCTGCTTCCATGGACGTGGTCAGGTCAGACCGGACTCTCACTCCTGTAGACCCAGGACTGAGGCTGTAGACCCAGGACTGAGGCTGTAGACCCAGGACTGAGGCTGTAGACCCAGTGTGTGCTATAATAATAAATGTGCCGCAGGCTGGTGGAGGAGGTGAAGCAGATGTGTCCGTCGGTGCTGCTGCAGAACGAGGACGTGTACATGGCCTCCACTTTCCAGGATTTCATTCAGATGTTTGTGAGGAAGCTGAGAGGAGAGGACCAGGAGGAGCAGCTGGTAGTGGACTATGTGAGTGACCAGGACCTCTGCTTTAAAGCTGGGGTTCCCAACTTTCACTACCATAAAGTTGTGACAAAACCCCTGTCTCTAGTTCGTCGCTCTCAAAACAGATCGCTTCATTTTTTCGCACATCATTTTGGCGTCACCGGAAAGTTTCTCTCTCTTTTGTCTATCGCGCTGGTCTCACTCTGGTCTCTCTCTCTCTCTTTGGACTCTCTTGCTGATCTTTCACTAGTCTCTCTCTTTCTAGTCTCTATGGTCTCTCTCTTTTGTCTATCATGCTGGTCTCTCTCTGGTCTCACTCTGGTCTCTCTCTCTCTCTTTGGACTCTCTCTCGCTCTGCTCTCTCTCTGCTCTCTTCCTATTCAAATCCAGGGTATGTCCTCTGTTGTGAGTTGCTGTTATACTTACAGGTTTCTAAAGAAGCCAACAACATGACGGTGAACATGCCGCACCAGTGCTTCATCAACGGAAAGTTTGAGGACGCTGAAAACCAGAAGACGTACGCCACGGTGAACCCCACGGACGGATCGGTGAGTACCATGTGTCTATACTGTGGACCATCAGGCGCCTATGATACTGTGGACCATCAGGTGGTCCCTTTGTCTCGTCCTCTGTCAGAGAAACTCTGTGTTAGCATTAGCATCTGTGTACAGTCTGTGTTAGCAGTAGCATCTTTGTACAGTTTGTGTTAACATTAGCATCTGTGTACAGTCTGTGTTAGCATTAGCATCTGTATACAGTCTGTGTTAGCATTAGCATCTGTGCCCAGTCTGTGTTAGCATTAGCATCTGTGCCCAGTCTGTTAGCTCCTCTCTCTCTCAGGTGATCTGTAAGGTATCGTACTGTTCGGTGGGGGATGTGGATCGTGCTGTAGCTGCCGCTAAAGAAGCGTTTGAGGAGGGGCCCTGGGGCCGAATGAACCCGAGGGACCGAGGCAGCCTGCTCTACAGGTCAGGAGCTAAAGCACACTGCTCTACAGGTCAGGAGCTAAAGCACACTGCTCTACAGGTCAGGAGCTAAAGCACACTGCTCTACAGGTCAGGAGCTAAAGCACACTGCTCTACAGGTCAGGAGCTAAAGCACACTGCTCTACAGGTCAGGAGCTAAAGCACACTGCTCTACAGGTCAGGAGCTAAAGCACACTGCTCTACAGGTCAGGAGCTAAAGCACACTGCTCTACAGGTCAGGAGCTAAAGCAGATGGTGTAGAACTGTCTCTATGAGCTTCATGTCTCTGTCCCTTCAATAAACATGATGCACACAGCACTACAGGCATCAGGAGCTTGTCTCTCTCTGGTCTCTCTCTCTGGTCTCTCTCTCTGGTCTCTCTCTCTGGTCTCTCTCTCTGGTCTCTCTCTGGTCTCTCTCTGGTCTCTCTCTGGTCTCTCTCTGGTCTCTCTCTGGTCTCTCTCTGGTCTCTCTCTGGTCTCTCTCTGGTCTCTCTCTGGTCTCTCTCTCTGGTCTCTCTCTGGTCTCTCTCTGGTCTCTCTCTGGTCTCTCTCTGGTCTCTCTCTGGTCTCTCTCTTGGTCTCTCTCTGGTCTCTCTCTGGTCTCTCTCTGGTCTCTCTCTGGTCTCTCTCTCTGGTCTCTCTCTGGTCTCTCTCTCTGGTCTCTCTCTGGTCTCTCTCTCTGGTCTCTCTCTTGGTCTCTCTCTGGTCTCTCTCTCTGGTCTCTCTCTGGTCTCTCTCTCTGGTCTCTCTCTCTGGTCTCTCTCTCTGGTCTCTCTCTTGGTCTCTCTCTGGTCTCTCTCTGGTCTCTCTCTGGTCTCTCTCTCTCTGGTCTCTCTCTCTGGTCTCTCTCTGGTCTCTCTCTGGTCTCTCTCTGGTCTCTCTCTCTGGTCTCTCTCTGGTCTCTCTCTGGTCTCTCTCTCTCTGGTCTCTCTCTCTCTGGTCTCTCTCTCTGGTCTCTCTCTCTGGTCTCTCTCTGGTCTCTCTCTCTGGTCTCTCTCTCTCTGGTCTCTCTCTCTGGTCTCTCTCTGGTCTCTCTCTCTGGTCTCTCTCTCTGGTCTCTCTCTGGTCTCTCTCTCTCTCTGGTCTCTCTCTCTGGTCTCTCTCTGGTCTCTCTCTCTGGTCTCTCTCTCTGGTCTCTCTCTGGTCTCTCTCTCTGGTCTCTCTCTGACTGGTGTTTCTGGTCCAGACTAGCAGACCTGATGGAGCAGTACCAGGAGGAGCTGGCCACCATCGAGTCCCTGGACTCTGGAGCCGTGTACACTTTGGCCCTGAAGACCCACGTGGGCATGTCTATCCAGACCTTCAGATACTTCGCCGGCTGGTGCGACAAGATCCAGGTGAGAAACCCTCCTGCCTCTCTGCGACAAGATCCAGGTGAGAAACCCTCCTGCCTCTCTGCGACAAGATCCAGGTGAGAAACCCTCCTGCCTCTCTGCGACAAGCTTCAGGTGAGAAACCCTCCTGCCTCTCTGCGACAAGCTCCAGGTGAAAAACCCTCCTGCCTCTCTGCGACAAGCTTCAGGTGAGAAACCCTCCTGCCTCTCTGCGACAAGCTCCAGGTGAGAAACCCTCCTGCCTCTCTGCGACAAGCTCCAGGTGAGAAACCCTCCTGCCTCTCTGCGACAAGCTTCAGGTGAGAAACCCTCCTGCCTCTCTGCGACAAGCTCCAGGTGAGAAACCCTCCTGCCTCTCTGCGACAAGCTCCAGGTGAGAAACCCTCCTGCCTCTCTGCGACAAGCTCCAGGTGAGAAACCCTCCTGCCTCTCTGCGACAAGCTCCAGGTGAGAAACCCTCCTGCCTCTCTGCGACAAGCTCCAGGTGAGAAACCCTCCTGCCTCTGCGACAAGCTCCAGGTGAGAAACCCTCCTGCCTCTCTGCGACAAGCTCCAGGTGAGAAACCCTCCTGCCTCTGCGACAAGCTCCAGGTGAGAAACTTTCCTGCCTCTCTGCGACAAGCTCCAGGTGAGAAACCCTCCTGCCTCTGCGACAAGCTCCAGGTGAGAAACCCTCCTGCCTCTCTGTGGACACAGACCTTTGGTCTCAGTCTTAATGACAAGTCTTTGCAGAAGAAAGTCCTGTGTCCTCTCCCCACAGAGCACTGCTGCCCCTGGTGGCCAGCACAGATAACAACAGGAGAGTACACCTCTGTAGGAGGAGAGTACACCACTGCAGGAGGAGAGTAGACCTCTGTAGGAGGAGAGTAGACCTCTGTAGGAGGAGAGTAGACCTCTGTAGGAGGAGAGTACACCACTGCAGGAGGAGAGTACACCTCTGCAGGAGGAGAGTAGACCTCTGCAGGAGGAGAGTACACCACTGCAGGAGGAGAGTAGACCTCTGCAGGAGGAGAGTAGACCTCTGCAGGAGGAGAGTAGACCTCTGTAGGAGGAGAGTAGACCTCTGTAGGAGGAGAGTACACCACTGCAGGAGGAGAGTAGACCTCTGTAGGAGGAGAGTAGACCTCTGTAGGAGAGAGTAGACCTCTGCAGGAGGAGAGTACACCTCTGAAGGAGAGAGTAGACCTCTGCAAGAGGAGAGTACACCTCTGCAGGAGGAGAGTAGACCTCTGTAGGAGGAGAGTAGACCTCTGCAGGAGGAGAGTACACCACTGCAGGAGGAGAGTAAACCTCTGAAGGAGAGAGTAGACCTCTGCAGGAGGAGAGTAGACTTCTGTAGGAGGAGAGTAGACCTCTGTAGGAGGAGAGTAGACCTCTGTAGGAGAGAGTACACCACTGCAGGAGGAGAGTACACCACTGCAGGAGGAGAGTACACCTCTGAAGGAGAGAGTAGACCTCTGCAGGAGGAGAGTAGACTTCTGTAGGAGGAGAGTAGACCTCTGTAGGAGGAGAGTAGACCTCTGTAGGAGAGAGTACACCACTGCAGGAGGAGAGTACACCACTGCAGGAGGAGAGTAAACCTCTGCAGGAGGAGAGTAGACCTCTGTAGGAGAGAGTACACCACTGCAGGAGGAGAGTAGACCTCTGTAGGAGGAGAGTAGACCTCTGCAGGAGGAGAGTACACCTCTGCAGGAGGAGAGAACACCTCTGCAGGAGGAGAGAGTAGACCTCTGTAGGAGAGAGTACACCTCTGCAGGCGGAGAGTACACCTCTGTAGGAGGAGAGTACACCTCTGTAGGAGAGAGTAGACCTCTGTAGGAGGAGAGTACACCTCTGTAGGAGAGAGTAGACCTCTGTAGGAGGAGAGTACACCTCTGTAGGAGGAGAGTACACCTCTGTAGGAGGAGAGTACACCTCTGTAGGAGAGAGTATATATTAGACTCTGACATACTGTAAACACTGACGTTTGCAGGAGAGAGTCTCAGGTCTAGACCCTGGTGCTGGGGTCTCAGGTCTAGACCCTGGTGCTGGGGTCTCAGGTCTAGACCCTGGTGCTGGGGTCTCAGGTCTAGACCCTGGTTCTGGGGTCTCAAGTCTAGACCCTGGTGCTGGGGTCTCAGGTCTAGACCCTGGTGCTGGGGTCTCAGGTCTAGACCCTGGTGCTGGGGTCTCAGGTCTAGACCCTGGTTCTGGGGTCTCAGGTCTAGACCCTGGTGCTGGGGTCTCAGGTCTAGACCCTGGTTCTGGGGTCTCAGGTCTAGACCCTGGTGCTGGGGTCTCAGGTCTAGACCCTGGTTCTGGGGTCTCAGGTCTAGACCCTGGTGCTGGGGTCTCAGGTCTAGACCCTGGTGCTGGGGTCTCAGGTCTAGACCCTGGTGCTGGGGTCTCAGGTCTAGACCCTGGTGCTGGGGTCTCAGGTCTAGACCCTGGTTCTGGGGTCTCAGGTCTAGACCCTGGTGCTGGGGTCTCAGGTCTAGACCCTGGTTCTGGGGTCTCGGGTCTAGACCCTGGTGCTGGGGTCTCGGGTCTAGACCCTGGTGCTGGGGTCTCGGGTCTAGACCCTGGTGCTGGGGTCTCAGGTCTAGACCCTGGTGCTGGGGTCTCAGGTCTAGACCCTGGTGCTGGGGTCTCAGGTCTAGACCCTGGTTCTGGGGTCTCAGGTCTAGACCCTGGTTCTGGGGTCTCAGGTCTAGACCCTGGTGCTGGGGTCTCAGGTCTAGACCCTGGTGCTGGGGTCTCGGGTCTAGACCCTGGTTCTGGGGTCTCGGGTCTAGACCCTGGTGCTGGGGTCTCGGGTCTAGACCCTGGTGCTGGGGTCTCAGGTCTAGACCCTGGTGCTGGGGTCTCAGGTCTAGACCCTGGTGCTGGGGTCTCAGGTCTAGACCCTGGTGCTGGGGTCTCAGGTCTAGACCCTGGTGCTGGGGTCTCAGGTCTAGACCCTGGTGCTAGGGTCTGGTGCGGGGTCTCAGGTCTAGACCCTGGTGCTGGGGTCTCAGGTCTAGACCCTGGTTCTGGGGTCTCAGGTCTAGACCCTGGTGCTGGGGTCTCAGGTCTAGACCCTGGTTCTGGGGTCTCAGGTCTAGACCCTGGTGCTGGGGTCTCAGGTCTAGACCCTGGTGCTGGGGTCTCAGGTCTAGACCCTGGTGCTGGGGTCTCAGGTCTAGACCCGCTGATCTCTGTGATGTGTGTGATGTCACAGGGTAAGACCATCCCCATAAACCAGGCCAGACCGAACCGGAACCTGACCTTCACCAAGAGAGAACCACTGGGGTAAGTGTGTGTCTGTGTGTGTGTGTGTGTGTGTCTGTGTGTGTGTGTGTGTCTCTGTGTGTGTGTGTGTCTGTGTGTCTGTGTGTGTGTGTGTGTGTGTGTGTGTGTGTGTCTGTGTGTGTCTCTGTGTGTGTGTGTGTGTGTGTGTGTGTGTGTGTGTGTGTGTGTGTGTGTGTCTGTGTGTGTGTGTCTGTGTGTGTGTGTGTGTGTGTGTGTGTGTGTGTGTGTGTGTGTGTGTGTGTGTGTGTGTGTGTGTGTGTGTGTGTGTGTGTGTGTGTCTGTGTGTGTGTGGGTGTGTGCACTTGTTTTCAACTCCTGGTGGGTTCCATAACCTGAGATTCCACTCACGTCATGGGGACTGGTTTTACGTGGTGGGGCCCGAACACCGGACCCCACTGGTCCAAGCTTAATAATCAATGGGTAATGCTTTTCTAACGGTCCTTATGCAGTCTCTGTAAAAATATGGAAAGGACCCCTGGAGGTTTACTTTCCTGAAAAAAGTGTGTTATGTGTCGGAACCCTGGTGGTGGGTTGCGGGATATCAAGGAGGGGCACACAACGGGGCAATTTCAGTCCAGCAGGCTGGAGCCAATCATGGAGCAGCACAAACAGAGGCTGGAGCCAATCATGGAGCAGCACAAAGAGGCTGGAGCCAATCATGGAGCAGCACAACAGAGGAAATCAGGTGTCAGGCTAGAAAAAGGTGCAAGTGTGTGGTTCATTAGGCTGCAGCCAATCACAGAGCAGCACACTGAAGCGCACGCTTACAAACCACTGGTAAGTGCTGACTACAAGTCATGACTTCAAATTGTTATATAGAATGATTACAAATTATTTGTTGTTTGTGCAGCTTAGTCAAGAGTCCCTAATTGATGAAGTCGACTCAGATTCTGACGATTTAACTGTCAAGAAGAAACCTGTAAAAAAGTATGGAAAAAGAAAAATCAAAAACACTTTTCTTCAAGACTCGGAAAGTGACGAACCAAAGGCAAATAAGATTGTTATCATGCAGCTGCAAAAGAAGAAAAATGGGGGCAGAGTTTATAGCAAGAGACACTTCTGCCTCTACTGTTCAATGTCCTGCCACAAAATGTCCCGTCATTTGACTAGAAAACATGGAAATGAAAGTGACGTAGCCAGAGCATTGGCTCTACCTGTGAAATCTAAAGCACGTAAACTTCACTTTGATTTGATCAGGAATAGTGGAAACGGTGAGCACAATTTTGAGGTTTTAAAGGCCGGCATTGGAACTTTAGTCCCAGCTAAACAGCCAAATTGCCCAGTTAAATCCAGTGAGTTTTTGCACTGTATAGACTGTGGGGCATTGTTTAAGCGAAAGTCGCTGTGGAGGCATGTGGCCAGGTGCCGGCTTTCACAGAAAGATGCCCAGGCTAAACCAGGCTAAACCAGGCTAAACCAGGTAGAAGTAGGGTCCAGTCCCTCTGCTCCCTAGCCCAGCCTGTACCGGAGGGCATCAGCAAAAAGCTGTGGTCTTTAATTTGGGCAATGCATCAGGATGAGGTCACGGGTGTTGTCAAAGCAGAAAAGGGGATTCTGAGACTCGGAGAGCACCTGTACTTAAAACACGGGCATGATAAGACTAAGCATGATTACATTAGGCAGAAAATGAGAGAAGTCGGTAGGTTAATTAACGAAGCAAAAACCGCAGGGAAACTGAAAACAATGAAGGATTTCTTTATTCCTTCCAACTTTAACCATGTGATTGATGCAGTCAGGTCTGTGGCTGGATATGATGAGGAAACAAATCAATACAAGACTCCATCCTTGGCCCTCAAACTCGGCCATAGCCTCAGAAAGCTAGCAGATATTCTTGAATGTGACTCAAAAATGGAGCATTGTGTTGATGAACTATTTATTAAAAACCTCCAACGAAGCCGGCTGCTTTTTGAGAAGAGGTGGGACGTCTGTGTTTCTTCTGCTGCCCTACAGACCCTCCGGCAAGCCAAGTGGAACACTCCGGACCTGCTCCCTCTGACTGAGGACGTTAGAGCCATGCATGCACATATTGAGGTATGTCGACCTGAATATGTGCAAACCCTAATAAGTGAGCCAACGTCTAAGCATTGGTCTAAACTGGCAGTTTTGACTCTTTGTGAGGTCATCATTTTCAATCGAAAGAAGGGAAGGTGAGGTTTCAAAGATGCCACTGACAGCCTTTACCTTAAGAAGTAAGACTGGGATCCATTCTGACATTGCTCTGGGACTGTCCCAACTTGAGAAAAAGCTGTGTCAGCATTTTCAACGCATTGAAATTAAAGGGAAAAGAAGTGGGAAAGTGCCGGTTCTTTTGACTCCTGAAATGATTGCTTCGATGGAGGTGCTGGTGGAGAACAGAAGGGCCTGTTCCATCTCTGACCATAACCCATACTTCTTTTCCCGCCCGGGCGCAGACACCCACATCAGGGGATCAGACTCCCTACGCCAGGTAGCCAAAGAATGTGGTGCGGTGCATCCAGAGATGCTATCCTCAACCAAACTTAGAAAGCACATAGCTACTATGTCTACAGTTCTCAATATGAAAGAGAATGAGATGGACATACTTGCCAACTTCCTCGGCCATGACATTCGCATCCACAGGCAATATTACAGACTACCAGAGGGGACACTGGAGCTGGCCAAAATCAGCAAAGTGTTGATGGCCATGGAGCAGGGAAGAGTGACGGAATTCGAAGGAAAGAGCCTCGACCAGATACAAATTGAGCCTGAAGGTAATTCTTGATATTATTAAAATATGTATGATTTTTTTCCCCTAAAGGCCACTTGTATTTTTATTTTCTGTGCGACAGGGAGAGCAGTAGAGATCCTCTCACAAACGGACGGGCTAAAAGAAACTTCAAGCGGAGAACCTTCAACCATTCATCCAGATGCACCCCATGGTAGTGGCAGTGCCCCTTCTGGTAAGTGTACCAGGTGGGGGATTACAGCCAGGCTGCTTGGTCCTAACCCTGGGAGTGTATATTGCTAATATATTTTTATTTCTCTCCCTAGAACGTTAGAGAAAGCCATGGTCTGCATCTGAGGTGAAGGCTGTGTGGAGAAGACCATGACGCCTTTCATACAGACTGGAAAGGTCCCTGGGAAGTCTCACTGCCTGGCCTGGCCTGGCCTGCATTAATGCCTCACCAGATGACCTTAGACATCGGACATGGAGTGGCATTAAATTCTATGTCAAAAATAGAATCACTGCAATTCGAAAAAAAAATCTAAAATAAAATTCCTTTAAAATAGTTGTTTGGTTTCTATTGACTGTTTTGTATTACTTAAAGTAGTCCCAGTAAAAAAAGATTATGTCTATGGGTCCCATTCTGAACGGCCCTGTCAAAGGGACCCACCAGGTAACAAAAACGTGTATGTGTGTGTATGTGTGTGTGTGTGTGTGTCTGTGTGTGTCTGTGTGTGTCTGTGTGTGTGTCTGTGTGTGTGTGTGTGTCTGTGTGTGTGTGTGTGTGTGTGTGTGTGTGTGTCTGTGTGTGTGTCTGTGTGTGTGTCTGTGTGTGTGGGTGTGTGTGTCTGTGTGTCTGTCTGTATCTGTGTGTGTGTGTGTGTCTGTGTGTGTGTGTGTGTGTGTCTGTGTGTGTCTGTGTGTGTCTGTGTGTGTGTCTGTGTGTGTGTGTGTGTGTGTCTGTGTGTGTCTGTGTGTGTGTCTGTGTGTGTGTCT